GAACAAACCTGGCTCCGGTGGTGCGCGGCCCGAGACAGGAAGCTCCAGCAGCGAGTAATTACGACTGCCCAGAACATTACCGGGGGCCCGTGAAGCAAACATCAATTATATCAGCGAGGTCATGTGTGTCTCTGCAGAGCCCAAAGGGCGCTGAGAGACAAAAGCCACTCCAGCTACGGTCTCTCCACCCAGCTGCTGTTTGATAAACCATAAAGACTTGACCACAGCCCTAACAGCGAACTGTATTTCCTGAAGCTGTAAAGGCAATTTCCTTTTAAACTAAGCGTGCTTTTATTGTTGTTGTTGTTTTTCATTTTCATTTTTAGCATTAATAATTTTCTTGACTTGCAGGGCTTTGCAAAAGTATTGACAACCCAACCTCACAGTGTTATTAGAGTTTTATGTGATAAAACCAAAGTCCCCTTGGGTCTAAGTGGCTCCCCCCCAAAAAAGCTTATTTGTATTCGTTATGTATTTCAATTTCTAAAGACGACATTCCCTCCAAAGTTGGGAATCCACGTTGGCGCATGTGTGGGCAAACAGCCAAACTACTGTCATAAATATTAGATTATTTTCTCTCCATACAAATTAACTAGCAAGTGACTATTTCAACTATTTCAGACATTGTTCCTTGTATCACAAACCAGGACGTGGGGGTCGGACTTACTGGGTCGGGCTCGGAACCCACTGATAACTGCTCGTAGTTCTAGTTTGATTTGAGTTGGACAAGAGAAACATCTGATACCTCCAAGACTGGAAACTGAGGAACAGAGTTAGTTGGCCACCCCTGGCGTAGGGTTATTTTTCTCTGGCAAAGGCTTTCTTTGGATGAATGTTTTCCTTCCACTTCGCAATTGTGTGCTGCTCAGTGTAGGATTAGCACATAAATTCAGAATGAGACAATAGTCGCAGCATAATAAACTATCAACCCATATGAATGCACTGCAGCTCCTGAAAACAGACAAACAACGCAGACACAAACTTGAAATTGTGTCTGAATGTCATTTATTTATAAGATTTTGTTCCCTAATAATGACCCTTAACTCTGGTTCATTTTGCCTGTTTTCCAGTTATTGGATTTAGTGACCGGCACTAATATCGAGCAATAAACCGAACGTGAGGTAGAGCTGCCCTTTTCCTTTAACTCATTTGGCCATTTATACATCTATTCACGTCAACGTCAAGCCTGCTTTGAACCCATTAGGGCTGGAGTTTCGCTTTTTGAGCAGCTCGTCTTCATCTTAATGCAATTCAAAGACCTACATTTTGAACGAGAGTTGCTGTGGCAACAAAGTTTTCCCCCCCTCTCCCGGAGACGCGGAGAGCTCAGTGGAGTATCCTTGATGGTGTGGCGGAAAGTGCTCAGGCACAGATGGTCCTGTGAGAAACCACGAGCCTCGTGTCCTAGTTGGCGTCGGAATACTAACGCGATCGAGCAAGGTCACTAATGTGTCGAGGTTTAACACAGCTTAACCAGCTCTTACGAAGGCAGTCTAATGCGCAGAAAGGATGAGGTACACTCCAGTTCCCCAAGTCTCGCTCACTCTGTCACACTTTGCTGCCAGCGGTAAAACACGTCGCAAATAAATTTATTCTAAAGGGGGTGGCTCATAAATCATCCAGTACCAATAGTGTGTTTCATTTGCACGAGGCTTAATCTCACAATATTTGTAGCTGATTTCAGAAAACAACTGTGTGTGTGTGTGTGTGTATATGCATGTTGCACTCCACTGGTGTAGTTTAAGAAAGTTACATCTCAATGAGTCAGAGTAAGGTGAGAGAAAAGTGCACACACATAAATCCAAGAAGAGGTCTGCCTCCAGTTTCTCTCTCAACACTAATGGTCAAGAGAAATGTGGGCTGAAGTTGAGCCAGTGCTGCCAGCATTGACTAAATTTGATCAGCAGTCTTTGATAAAACTCTTCCACCAGCCTGAACCTGTGTTTCAAGCTGTTCCGCCGGCCTTAGATAATGATATCATAGGAGCCCAGATTTTAATGAGAGCTCTGATTGGGTGGCAGTATTTCATGGCTAACAAGATGCCCTGTTGTCTGTCTGTTAGTTGCCATCCAGTCTGCAGTGTGTTGTAGCATGCGTACGCACATGAATGTGTGTGTGTGTGTGTGTGAGTGCAGCAGCGTCTCGCGAATTCAATTTAGGTCAGAGTCAAATGATAGCAAAGCACTTGGAGTCTTATTTGTCTCACTGCATCATCAGATTGTTTTTTTTTTCTTAATAGAGACAACACATGAAAGAGGGAAGGAAAACTGGCCGACGCCAACTTTTTAATGAAATTTGATATGTGACATTTAAAATGCCGCATGAGTCATGCAGCAAGAATTCAAATCATGTTCAGAGCTACTGACAATCTGTGCATTCATTACTATTGCTTTGACTCCTTCAGTGTGCTGGACATAATTGATAGCACTTCTGGAAAAGGGATGTAAAAGTAATACGTTTTTTTTACCTACTTATCCTTGGAGGATAAAGGGGGGCTGATGCCAGTCTCCAACAGTCATTGGGTGAAGCTGTGAAAAATCATCCCTTTCATTTGCGTACATTTATTCAGGGAGGAAAAACGTTCAATGAATGAAATGATTTATCACTAATGGGCACAATCTTTGATAACTTTGCTATCAGTACTTTTTACAACTACCTTTAGCCAAAAGGACAGAATTCAGTTTTCTCTCATGATGATTTCCCATCTTGGAGCATTCCTCTTAACCCTTGCATGCAGAAATGGGGTCCAACCGACCCCACACACATAAAACTTGTATCATTTGCCATAGTCCTCGACGTTTGCCTCAGTCCTCATACACACAAGGGTTAACATCAACCTTTGTAGATCAGTGGTTTCCCAACCGTTGGGTTAATGACCAGAACCAGTGGTTAGGGTCCTTTGGTAACAATCGTTGGCATAACACTCGTTCTTTCTCACTGATCCACTCCAAACATACCTGAGGAGCAGCAGTATGACCTAACAGAGATTATCCTTACACACAACGCCAAAGTTTACAAAACCTTGATAGGACTATAGTAGAGTTGCACAATATTAGAAAAATTTGACCAGTGGAAATTACATCACATTGAGCAGTCCTGTACATCAGCAGGGGTGAACTGATGCATGCATTAAAACATCCCCAGTCCAGTGGCTCCATTTTGTTCCCCCAAAAAGTTTACTACAACTTCATAATTTTCAAATACTTGAGTGTTATTTTCATAAAAATCCAAAAAAATGTATACAACTCACCTGATATGGATCTATCACTTTTATTTAAAGCATAATGTCAGCAAAACACACATTTTAAAAAAAGAAACAAATAATCTGTGGGGCCCCGGCAAGCCCTTTGTACAGTCTGACCCAGCCAAGTGAGCATTAGCACCTCACTTAATAAAAAGAAGGTACATCAAGTCTGTGTATTACATGCAATGAAAGTCCAATAGAATCAATATATTGATACAAAAGTTGCAAGCATTGCACTTAAAATATTATGTTCTACCAAATATTGCACCTAAGCAGTCCTTCCCCAGCAAAATCCAGTATAAGGACCAGGATAAACCGTGCTGCCCCACCAGGAATCACAGCTGGAGCAGGACCACAACACAACCAGGCCATGAGGACACCCAGCGGACTGCAGGGAACCTGCACATACTTCTCTGCTTTTGTTGACTTTGCCCACACCACTTGAACATGAAATTTTATCCAACAAGCAGGTGAAGAACATGCTTCAACAAAGGACTGTGCAGTGTTTTATGAGGTGGCCACACATGTGGCGTGAGGTTCTTTGGTTTGTCTCACGTCAAACCAAAATAAAGCGTTGGTCATTAAAGAGCTCCATCTGGTCTGACTACCGTTTAGCAAACATAATTTTTACATGTCTGTGAATAAAAAGGCTGTAAAATTACGGCACATAAGTGACACAAATCCTGAAAGACGCACAAAAAATCCTTAGACAACTCCTCCTCGGTCAATTAGAATAATTATACTGAACATGGCTTCAGATTGGCACTTCAGACCTGGAAGAGGAGGAGAAAAAAAATCACCTTGTGAGATTAGATGGAGTGGCAGGCTGCAGAAGCCCATGTGTCAGGCTGCTGCAAACCTAGACAGGAGAAGTAAGTTGGCATCTCTCTACCTAATCAGCATCAACGGGCTCTCACATCAGCAATCAAGCTTAAGGCATTTGCAGTTGAGGTCTATGCCAAAGAGGCTAACGCGACTGGCAAAATGGCATCTGTTTATGTGCCATGTGTTGCTCCTGTAACCAAGGATCACTCCTTAACCCCTGGTCACCAGAGGCGCGTTCTTTCACAGGCTGAGATCGATACCTCTAAAGGGGGAATCAGGGAATCAGAACATCCCTAAAAACCCGAGAATCATCTAGAAAGTCCTTCAAGAGACGGATTCGAATCAACTCCTGCTCGCTTTGTTTTCACCTTTGCTTTTTGTTGTTCTGATTTACATGACAGGTTGCTGTCTAATTTCTCGCAGCACCGGCAGCGGAACATGAAAAGGTTATAAAAATCCTCCAGCTCTGTTTGACAAGTGCCTTTTTTTTCCTGCTTTAATTCCTCCAGCCCGATGTGAAACGCAGTCTGGGGAAAAACAAATACACTTTGTTAGATGATGGTATGGTTGCCTATTATAGGCACTGTGATCACTCAAGCTGTTATATTATATGGTGGTGATGCAGCTCCAAAAAAAAAAAAGAAAAAACATTCTGTTATTTCCATTAAAAAGGCTTGCAGAGGCTTCTTACTGAGCAGGCCCAGCCTTTCATCATCTCAGGTGCCATTATTTCAGCAAAGCTCTATTTCATTTTGTGATTGATGGTTCCCTGGCAGTCTCAGCAATCTTGGTCAGACTCTGGATGTTTGCAGCAGGCTCTCATAAAAGGCTATGATGCTATTTATTAATTCAAAGATCTCTTCTTTTTTTTTTTTTTACTCAGCGTCTCTCTTATTTTTATTTTTTTCTCCTCTGTCTGCCTCTCACACAGTGCCTGGAAAATAATCACCAATGGACCGGCTGGTTGTGTGCGTGCTGCTGTGTGCAGCTCTGGTGAAAGGCTACAGCTCCTGCCCCGGCCGCTGCATCTGCCAGCACCTCTCGCCCACTCTGACTCTGCTCTGCGCCAAGACCGGCTTGCTGTTCGTGCCCCCCACAATCGACCGCAAGACCGTGGAGCTGCGGCTCACTGACAACTTCATCACCATTATTCGTAAGAAGGACTTCCTCAACATGACCAGCCTGGTCCACCTCACCTTATCCCGCAACACCATCAGCCAGATCGTGCCCCACGCCTTCCTGGGCCTGCGCTCGCTCCGGGCACTGCACATGGACGGGAATCGGCTCAGCGTCATAAAGAGCGATCACTTTAAAGGCCTCGTCAACCTGCGGCACCTCATCCTCGGGAACAACCAGATCCACCAGGTGGCCTCGACCTCCTTCGACGAGTTTGTCGCCACCATCGAGGACTTGGATCTGTCCAACAACAATCTGCGCAGCCTTCCCTGGGAGGCCATAGCCAGAATGACTAACATTAACACGCTCACCTTGGACCATAACCTTATTGACTACATAGAAGCGGGGACTTTCACTTTGCTCACCAAGCTGGTCCGCCTGGACATGACTTCTAACCGGCTGCAGAAGCTTCCGCCGGACAGCCTGTTCCAGCACGCCCAGGTTCTGTCCGACGCCAAGGGCTCCAGCTCGTCCACACTGGTGGTGAGCTTTGGCGGGAATCCCTTCCACTGCAACTGTGAGCTGCTGTGGCTGCGCCGGCTGACGCGGGAGGACGACTTGGAGACCTGTGCCTCGCCGGAGCACCTCATGGACAAATATTTCTGGTCGATACAGGAGGAGGAGTTCATCTGTGAGCCCCCACTGATCACCAAGCACTACTCCTCTAAGCCCTATGTGATGGAGGGCCAGGGTGTGACTCTAAAGTGCAAAGCCATGGGGGATCCAGATCCAGACATTCACTGGAGGTCACCGGATGGCAAGCTGGTGCACAACAACTCGCGCACCATCCTGTATGACAACGGCACCCTTGACATTCTCATCACCACGCTGAAGGACAGCGGGTCGTTCAACTGCGTGGCGTCCAATGCTGCCGGCATCGCCACGGCCGCCGTGGAGATCAGCATGATCCCTTTACCCTTGTTCGTGAACAACACCGGCCACATGCGCGAGGACCCCGGCCTCTCCGACATCACCACTTCCTCCAAAGCTGGCAACGACACAAAAGGCTACGACAAGCAGGACAAGAGGGTCCTGGTCACGGAGCTGACCTCGTCCTCCGCCGTGATCCGCTGGCCGTCTGAACGCCACATCCCCGGGATCAGGATGTACCAGATTCAGTACAACAGCACTGCAGATGATACTTTGGTGTACAGGTAAGCCAGGGTGGAGGCAGGATGGGCAGCGAGAGAAAAGTGTGTTCCAGTAGACCAGTGCTTCTCAGTTCTGGTCCTCGGGGACCACCGCCCTGCGTATTTTAGATTCTTCTGTTCCAGAACACCTGATTCAAATGATTGACCTCCTCCGCATGCCATCTAGTGCTGCAGAACCTTATAAATCACCCACTTATTCAAATCAGGTGTGTGGCAGAAGGGAAACCAGCTAAAACATGCGGAGTAGCCGTCCCTGAGGACCTGAGTTGAGAAACATTGCAGAAGACATTTGGAGTTGGAGTCCCCAAAATTATTTAACAATGTTTAGATCTATTCAGGGTCACTCATTAACGAAGTAAGGAGAGAATAAGTCTAAAACTCTTGGAGAGCAACTATAGTAAAAAGAAAAAAACCTCAAGTGGCATCAGATTGATTCAGTTTATTCCCCACATTGGCTCCAAAACTGAGTGAATTGTTGCAAACATTGCATTGCAAGTCCAAGTACCCCATAGAGCCAAACGGTCTTAATCAGCATCATTAGAATGTAATATGACAGCAACAATAGCACAATAAATATTTCACTCCATGTAACTGTATCATTAGAAAGGGTTGGAAAATAATTGGCTGCAGCACAGAAAGAAATTAGAAAAACTCTGTAAAGCTGAGATTTGTCGTAGAGGATTCACATCATTTGCTTATTGCAAATTGAAAACAGAACTAACACATTACAGTAACAAGTTAAAACAATGAAAGAACAGACTGGCTCTGAGAGAATTAATAAGCTTTAGGTTGACAAATTGCTTTTTTTTTTTTTCTTTGGTATTGTTCTCTCTCTAATGCCCAAAAGGTTACAAATTACAGCTTAAACCTTTAATATTTTTGCTTTCTGAGTTGGATATGAACAAATACCCAAGATAAGATCCAATAGTAAATGTTTTTCTTTGTCACGTTCAAGCTTAGACTTTTTTTTTTTTTAACAAATTGAAATATTGCACACACCAGTATCGGAAGGCAAAACCACTTTTTGGTACAACAGTTGTACAGTTTTTGATGTATGGCTTCATGCTTCAACCAGCTTTCTAAATTGCTTGATTTGAGAAAATATGGAAAATTTATAAATGTCTGTTTTCAAGTTTTGACACATATTTTCAGATGAAAATATGTTCCTCAATCTCAAGTCTTTTTTTTTTTTTTTTTACCTGTATTTAGTTTCAGCCACTGTAGTCTGAATTATGGCTTTTTTTTCTGTTCCTGTAAAAAAAAAAATGCTGATGATGTTGCCCCATCATATTTCAGAATCTAGATGTTTTTATTGGCTTTAACTCTAATAATTTATTAGTTTAGCTCTATCTACCAATAAGGTGACTTCTGAAGGCATCTTGCTGCATTTAATTTTATTCAGTAAAGAAGTAAAAAGTAAATAAGGCTAAATGCACAACATATTTTTTCCCAGTTTTTATTTGTAAAAAAAAAAACTTGGAACGTTTTCCTTCCACTTCCCTGCTGTGCTCAACGTATTGTTGATCTATCATATGTAATCCCAGAAATAAAAAAAATAAAAAAAAATAAACACTTATGTGTGTAGTTGTAACATGACAAACTGTGATAACGTTCAATGGGTGGGAATACTTTTGCTAGGCAGTGTAATTACCAAAGTACAACACAGGCACTTAAAATTCAGACCCAAGTGTTTGCAATTAGCTGCGACTAAATTATAGGATTAAAACGACTTTGAAGAACAACACCATGTTAATACAGAATCCTAATTTCTTTCTGCAGTCTAAATGTGAGTGCATTGCTAATGTTTAGTCATAGTAAAAAAAAAAAAAGTATGCACAGTTGAATTTCATAGTAGACAGGATAAAACTGAAAATTGAATAGCTTTTAGTGTCGGCTTACAAAGGCTTATGCTGGTATAGAAATATCTCTCTCCCTTAAACATGGGGTTGAAAGTACCAATAGAAAGTCTTTTGATTAAGCTTCATGTGTTCCTTTTAAATTCTGTGACACAAATTTACTGTATTTCAGGATTTCATTTTGGCAGAGCAAACTAATAATACTGGTTTACATGCTTTCATTCGCTCCCCCTTTTTTTTTTTTTTTTTTTTTAGCTTTTATCAGGTATAATGAGTAGCTCTCTTGTATAATTTTCTCATTCAGTTTCAGCATGGAGCTGAGTGTTATTTTGTCTTTAGGTGGTACATTATTACCCACCAAATGATAACCATCAAAGTCCGCCTTTAGGGAAAAGGAGCAGGCTTCTAATTATATTAACGGCAACGTTGACCCGAAGACGATGCCTTTCTCCTGCGTATTTAGCGTAATCTTGCACTTGACCTTAGGTAATCACACAACAAAACACCCTCTTCCCAGCGCTCATCACTTGTCCTGCAGCCTGCAGCTGTTGTAGGGAGAGAATAAAGCGTTTTTAATACTTTAACACCTTTGCTTTCATTTTACAAACAAGCCTGAAAGAGCGTATGTTATTTTCTCATGCAATGCCTTGCCAAAGTATTCATAACCCTTTAACTTTTTCACATTTTGTCACGTAACAACCACAAGTTTCAGTATGTTCTGTTGGGATTTTGTTGCAAATTATGGTTATGTGGAAGGAAAGTCCCCATTACTCTGATACCCCTAACGGAAATCCCTCAAAAGTTTTCAAAGAGCTCAAATAACACAGCGGTCCAGATCAGGAATGAAGATGTGGAAAGGTTTAATGTAGGGTTATTGAACAATGTCACCAGATTTCAACATAGCACTTCAGTCCAACCAAACCAGATGCCCGTGTTAACTCTGACGGTACTGTTAGTTTTGAACACCACAAATCTGGCCTTAATGGAAGGGTGGAAAGAAAAAAAAGTCATAGTCAAAAGGAAGTGATTAGAAGCTTCCATCTACAAAAAACATTCTCTGGTCATGTGAGACAAAAAAAATTAATATTTTGACCTTTGCACAAAACACCATGTGTGGCAGAGTACTAACTTCAGATAATCCTGGAAATACTGTTCTTGTGGTGAAGCATGATGTTGGCCGCATCGTGTGGTAGGTTGATTGGACATGGGATTAAATGGGACATTATGTAATTTCTCTTTGGAATTAATCAAGTGTTTTTGAATTGAATTGAACATTGCATACATGGCAAATCTTGAAGAGATGTTGGAGGCTGGGATGGAGGTTGATTAAAAAGGTGAAAGCAAAGTATATAATGGCTTTGAATGGCCCAATTCAAGTCCTGACCTAAATCTAACTCTTCTCTAGACTTGAAAATTGCTGCTCATTGGTATACTTCATCCAATCTGGCTTGGGTCAAATTATTTTGCCAAGACAGTAAGAAAGGTTCAGCAGGTAGAGGTTCACCCCAGAAGACTTGGAGGGGCTGAATATTAAATGAACTCTTTCGTGATTTCTATCACTCTATGCAAATCAATATGCGTGGCTGTCGAGTTTCTGTTTTTATAAGGTCTTTATATCTTAACCACTGCATCGTTTCTCTCTTCCTCCGCAGAATGATCCCGTCTACCAGCAAAAACTTCCTCATCAACGACCTGGCTGCGGGACGGGAGTACGACCTCTGCGTGCTGGCCGTGTACGACGACGGCATCACGTCGCTGACGGCCACACGCGTGGTCGGCTGCGTGCAGTTCCACACGGCCAACGAGGTCAGCCAGTGCCGCTTCATGCACAGCCAGTTCCTAGGAGGCACCATGATCATCATCATCGGCGGCATTATCGTCGCCTCCGTGCTGGTGTTCATCATCATCCTGATGATCCGCTACAAGGCCTATGGCAGCCCCGTGGACACAAAGGCCAAGCCCAGCTTCGCAATGCACTCGCAAACCAACGGCAGCCAGCAGCGGCTGCAGCACTCGGTGTCCAAGCAGCCGTGTGACGAGGTCGAAGCGCCGGCGCCCAAAGAGTGCATGGCTCTGGTGTTGAAGGTGGACAGCGAGAAGGAGGAACTGGCAGCCACGGTGGCAGTCCTCGAAGTGGAGCTGCCCCCAAATGCAGACAAAATGAAGAGAAGGAGCAGCCTGGATGCTCAGCGCTCTGGGCCGCCATCTGAGGACACGCAGACGGACAGCAGCCTGACCGGCTCCACCATGTCCCTCTGCCTGATAGGCTCCAATGCCGGCACTAAGGAGGCTCCCAGGCTTAAGGACAAGAAAAGCGCCCTGGCCAGCGTGGGGTTACTCCCCAACGAGCTGGCACGAACTAGGCACAGATTCTCTTTCGATGGCGGGGATTACTCCATATTTCAGAGTCACAGTTACCCACGCAGAGCGAGGACGAGGTGGCACAGGTCCACCAACCAGCTCAACACAGAGTCATCGCCACTCGCCAACAGGAGAGTTACATTCAGCAGCACTGAGTGGATGCTTGAGAGCACGGTTTGAGGAAAGCAGTGTAGCAAAAAATTTTAAATAAAAAAGAAACATTTAAAAAAGGCACAAACGTAACGTAAAAACACAAAACATCTACATGCCATACAGCACAACGATGATTAAAAACAAGCACATTTATGTACTCATGCTGACTTCCTGTGAGTTGCTGGAGGAGAACAGTATCCTGTCATCCTGCTTCCCCCCCATCGTGCTCCCAGAGAGGTTTATTTGGGCCATGTCTCTTCTTCTTTGTTTTTTGGGGTTTTTTTGCAGCGGTGCCTTATTCTTTTAAATGTATGAATGGAGGATGCTGCTCACTGTAGTCACAAACCTCCCACTCTTGACGGCGATGGGAAGTGTTGTTTTTGGCTTTTCGGTTTTCACCGTTTTCTGTGGCACACTGACGGGGAGGAGAGGGGTTTGGCATTTGGATGTGACTGTTTAATTGTTAAAAAAAATAATAATAATCATCATTAAAAAAAAAAAAACTTCATTACGCAGTAACTTGTAAAGTGAACAGCCAGGTACCCTGTTATGTCAATCATGTTTTTTTTTTTTGGTTTTTTTTTTGATGAAGAAAAAAAAAACTTTTGCACAGAAGACACGAGATACAAGGACAAGTATCAACACCAGTCTATACAATATTAATAACAAAAAAAAGCAGAGTTTTCTTTTTTTTTTTTCGAATGCTCATTTCTAATGTTAGTGGATAAAAAGGGGTTGATGTGAGAATCTGCCATGGACGGTCAGACTGTGCGATGTTGAATAGGTATTGTTCCAGATGTGACTGTATATTCATCGGTACTGTATCTGGCTGGTCTAGATAAAAGACGACAAACAAACAAAAAGACATATATAAGTATATTAAAATATTGGTGTATGTGTACTAACTATGTAAAGTAAATAAGTCATACGTCACGTGACTTTTTACAGAGCATTTGGGTGTTGGCTGCAAGTTTTTACATTAAAAACCTGTGTCATCACACCTCTCAATATTTAGTATGTCCAAGTTTGAACCATTTATCCCCTCATGAAGGGTATTAAATTTTTTGTGTGGGTTAACTGTATCAGTAGTGCTTGTTTTTTTTTTTTTTTTTTTTTTTTCTCCTGGTCTTTTGGTTGGATTTTTTTTTTTTTTTTGCTGCTGCTGTTGTGGTTGGATTATTTTATGTCTTGTGCTGCTCCAGTGTCCACTGTAGCGAGCGAGAGAGGGACACACGAATTGAAATGATAAATATTTGATTCCTCAGTGCTATTTTTGAGGTTTTAAGTGAAAGCGTCACAGCGCCAATAGAGTGGAGTGGGATGTGTGACTGCGAGGGACAAGCCAACTGGACGTGGTGCTGAATCCAAATGAAGCCAGCTGTTGTTACACAACGGCGTAGGAGCAAATGTTCACCACCAGGGGGAGACAAAGCTTTCCATTGTCTCTAATTAGGCGCTTTTCTTAAGAATTTATTAGTGTGAATCATAAACAGCGGAAGCTGCGTGCTCCACCCAGGGCAGAAAGGTCTGGTTTATGGGAAAAGCTGTAGCTTTAGTTCTTATTTAGTTTTAGTTCTGAGCATTGAAAATTAGCAGGATTAACCAATCATGCTGTCAGCAGATGTGGGAACATAACAGTAAGTGATAATATCCTCTCTGCATTGACGTATAAGGTCCAGACTCAGGTGAATAAATCCAATATAGAAGCATATATTTCAGTTTTAACCATGACTTTTTAAAGCTTTCAATACGTTAAATATTCTTAGTCATGTGAGGGAGAGACAGAATTCTATCTGTGTGAAGCAGTCAGTTTTTCTGAAAAAAGCAGTCCGAACAACTGCTTCCCATTCAGGATCCGTAAAAGCGATCCGAAAATTGTTTGAAGCGTATGAGAGGGCTATTTCTCATCTCCGATAGTACCGCGATTCATATCTGTAGCTCACTCACAATAATAGCGATGAAAGAGAGAGATGGTGTGCGCTGAGTTCTGAAATTTTTCAGAAAGGTATGAAAATGAATGGTTGAGTGCCTGAGGCTACCCTGTCATATGATTTCACCTTGACAGAAAACCGTCAGTCCTAGAGAAATTTCAAAAACATTTTACGGGAGCAGGCATTCGGTGCGATGTCATGACCGACTTTCATACCAATAGAGCGATTTTTGTAGGCATGACGGCAATTTAATTATTATTTTGGGGGTCAAAACTGTCGGTTAGTGTGTGTTACCCAGAAAGCAGTTAGGCACAATATCCCAGCACCGTGAGTGAAACAATGACTGGGGCAGCCTACTATATAAAGTACTCGGGGACTAGTCCTATATTAATTTACACATTTGTAGAATACGGAACAAATAGCGTGCCGTAGCGGTTCAATACGGGACACTACATACGACAGCCACATACGAGACGGTTCCGTATTTTACGGGACGGGTGGCAACACTACTTGCAAATCAAGGCGATCACTGCCCTCCCTATGCATTGCTATGGGCAGGCCCCAATAATAATAGGAATAATTGATGAACGGTAAGATTTTATTATTATTATTATTATTATTATTATTATTATTATTATTATTATTATTATTTGAGTATTTTATTTGGCTGACCTCTTTCTTTTTCTGATTAAGATTGAAATACGTGCATAAAATTATTCTTCATTTTATATGTAGACCTTCTATGCGAAAATAGGTGTGTGTGTGTGTGTGTGTGTGTGTGTGGGCGGGGGGGGAGGGTCCCTTTGGTGAATGCAACGTGCTGCTGTAATATCATTCAGCTGTATACAAGGGGAAAAAAGTCCATTTTAATTTCATTTTTAAAAATCTGGAAGCTTTAATGAAGATGACCACCAAGGAACGGTTCTTCTTCGACTGCATTTGTTGTATTTTACGATTATTTTCAGTCTTTTAGACGTGTAGAAGAAGAATGTTGGCTGTTGTGCCCACAGATAATATAAGCGGCCAATGCGGGGTCTACTCTTATATTATGTCTATGGTTGTGCCTACGGGGCTCAGCGCCGCCCCGTATCAGTGAGGAACGGTACTTTCTCCCACACCTGCGCATTTTCACTGCTCAAGAAATGACCGATTAGAAAGACTAAACATGTTGCTCGTATTCATTAAATACATCAGGCAGACGGTTGGAACGTCAACATAGGTAGAACATGTGGAATTAAACAAATATATTGGCGATATGGAGACAGATAGCAACGGGCAAGCGAAAGCTTCCTTCCTTCTTCCTTCACTGTGTACGACACAGCGCCACCAGAGGTGAGCCGCAGCACTGCACTTATTCACTCCGGTCTTCTCCCATACTTCAACAGCTATTTTGACCGTAGACATGTTGATATTATCAATAAAACACACACAATTATAGAAAAGAGAAGTCAAGTGGAAAAATTAATTTTCTGTCATCATTGTTAGCATTTTACTCACCTGCCTCTGCAGAACCTGTGTCACTGCTTCTCTGTTACTCTTTGATATATAATTATAAAATCCCAATTAATGTGAACTACAGTAATGAATGCTATTTTAAGTACCATTCCGGGCAGAGGTTTAGACACTCTCATTATAGGCATGAATCTCATCTTCATCTGCAGTTTATAGATTTTTTTTTCTCCACTGATCTTATTTCAGGTTGAACTGATCAGATGACAATGTTAAAGATTTTTAATAACTAGAACTGAGTTCACAATTTTAAATTAATTTTACATCGTCTGCAATAAAAACAGATTTGTACTCCCCAAATGATGTTTGGTTACCTTTTCCTTTGCTAATTGCATCCTGCTTCTTCTTAGTCAATACCTTTAAACCGGAAGCTTTTCAGGATTTGCATCACATCAAACTTCAGTTTTAAATGACAAAAGCTAGCATCATGGCAGGAGTTTGTAAACTTTAGAAAGCCACTGTACCTCCAAAATCGCTCAAGTCAACAACAACAACAAAAACGACAAGTCAATGATTTGACATGATACACATTTAAATTGGGTTGGGAAAGGATAAACCAGACTAACTTTAAGCTTCTCCAAACTTCTGACTTCCAGTATACTTTGGTATACTGGATAGAAATCATGGACTATGCCTGAAAGCCAAATAAATGCTTAAATATCGCATATTTAGATGGACTCTACTAATTCAGTTTGGAAGAGAAGCTTTTCGTAGCTGTAAAGCATAAATACAGTGTTAGATTGCAACAAAAAGTTTGTGATTTCTCTGCTACTTGCTATGAGACAGTAAACCCTTGGTGCATAATCTGGACTCTTTGTGGATCAAATATGTGAATACATATCTCTCTTTTTTTTCTTTTTTTAGAAATCATTTTGTTTCTGTAAGATTATTCCATGCTGAAATAACAATTGGATTGTGGATGTAAACCTCTGATTGAAACTTTGTGTATTTTTAGACACAAAGGATTATCTATTTTTCTCTCTGCTACATTTAGCTGTGTCTTACATCGTATTAGTTTGTCTAGAGTCAGGGATGCATGATGACAACGATGACGAATGATGGTAATTTTTTTTTGTTGTTGTTGTTTGCAGCAGAAAGCGGCCTCCATTCCTCTGACCCAAGCTGCACAGATTAAGATAAAAGCCAGGCTGCTCGGACAGTGAGATGTCGATGAGATTTCGCAGAAAGCTGGAGAGCATTTTGTACTCGATTTGGAGGGGGAGGGGGCTAACATCCACGGTGGTGGAGTAGATTCAGTGTAAGAACCGGGTCATCCTTCATCTTCCCTCATCACATGCGGCCGGTTTTCACCTTGCAAATTTTGCATTTCAAGCAGCCCTGAAATTTCCCTCCTTCTGATTTACAGGAAGACTAAACCTTTAGAGTGAAAGTGCTTTAGCTGTCAAGTCCCCAGCGCACTAACTTTGCAACTCCAGTCCATCTCGGCATTAGCTCACTGACAGCGAAGGCTTGGAAATTGGGCAGCAGACCGTCTCTCCCAGCTGGGGAAGTATTTCAGTCTGTTCCGATCTGTAACCATTATTCAACCCCGAATCTGCTTAGGTAAGAGGACGCAGAGATCTCACCCGTCCTGAAAAATTGGCTTGGACAGCCAAACTAGCAGACAGTAGGGTTAGAGCTAAGTGTTTCATCAGCAGTTCTGAGTGGCTGTAGGGGGGGAGGAGAAAAAAAAAAGGTGCCTGGATTCAGTGAGAGGGCAATTATTATTTTTTCACTCAAGATCCAATTTTATGTCTAATGCATACTGATGTGGGTATGAAACACCCAGTCTGGGGATGGTTTAGCACATGTTGAGTTCGAGTATCGTCTCTGTGCCAAGACCGTTAATCAGCAAACAAGCTGTGTTGAAACATGAACATCTAAAGTTTTTAAAGTGGGAGCTATTATGTAACGTCAACTTTTTTTAAGCTTTATATCACGTTGTAATGTAATTCCCTCGTCAATGTTGCTTTGATTCTTTCATACATGTTTGAGGAATCCTTGAATCTCCTGCAGCAGCCACTGGGCGGATGCCTAAACGTGTGTTCTCACGAAGCTCCGCCCATTTCCACAAAGCTCCTCCTTCAAGCTGCACTGTCCAGTCGAGCTTCCGTCTCTCATTACACCCCCGCCCCGCACCTTCCCCGCTCAGCACCTCCAGACTAGTGGCAGCAGCAATTAGCAAACACCTGGTTGAACTGCGAGTCTGCTGAGCTCAACATGCAATCTGCTCCTCTCTCCAACGCTCTTAAGAATGGTTGTAAACGCCATAAGGAGAAGCATTGTGATGACGTTTTGAATGCGGAGCGTTGAGAAGACCAGGAGATTCTTAAAGAGACAGAAGCCCGATTTCAAGGTGTCAAAATAGGAAGTTTTGTTTCTTTTAAGTAGTGTTTGATATATACATCATTTTCAAAACAACTGAACATAACACAGTTACTTGACTGTGTTATAAAATAACAGAATGTGTCTGGAAAATACATAACATATTAATACCCTTTTAAAATCCAATGGGAAAATAAAATCAGCATCCTCTTTACAGTGACTTCTACGTCGACCTAAAAGTCCTGACAATTCCTCAGTAAGTATTTCTTTAAAGCCTTGAAATAAAGTAATTTCTCTTACCCTACCCACAAAGCCCA